AAAAAAACAGAATTTTAGCTGAAATGGCGGAAAAAAGCTAAAATTTGTTAAAAAGTAGCTAAAATTAGCACTAGAAAGTGAAAAGGAGCATAACCAGTAAAAAATGTGTAAGGTGCTTTAAAGACATAGAAACATTTTAAAGGAGTTGAAGGATGTTGAAAACAGCTCCATTCATTTTCAATGGCAAAAAAGTGGCTATAAAAAGTGAAATAGCTAAAAAAAGTATAAATAGCTGAAATACCAAAAGTCATGGCACCCCTCACATGAATGAGCTGAATGCTTTGATATATGAATTGTTGAAATAGCACAAAAATTGTGGAACCAGTTAGATGCCGAAAAATGTACGGAAGAAAAAATGATTTTAATTGCGTGAAAGCTATGAAGCATTCACGCAGTAAATGTACTTCACAGGAATCACTTGGAAAAATCTGAGCTCCCTGAGTTTCTGGTTTAGCAGGAATTATATATTTAATTTGACTTATTTTATAGCTACAGAGCAAACTTCAGAGTTATGCATTTTGCAGCATATGAGTACATGAAATCCTGCCTATATTGGTGTATTTCTTGCATCACCAGAAACCAATCTCAGCTACCTTTCATGCATTTTCTCCCCAGACAGGTTGAGGTTTCCTGTCATCATCTCTGTCTGTCCTTTCTTCTGGCTTCAGGTGTTAAAAACGCCGACGAGAACGAGCTGAAGGCCATCGCGTCGCCTCCTGAGGAAACCCACGTCTACAACGTGGCGGACTTCAGCGTGATGAGCGACATCGTGGAAGGCCTCACCAAGACCGTCTGTGACCGCGTGGATCAGCTCGACAAACAGATTAAAGGTTTGAACTYGGATTTCCAATAATAAAATACCCATCAGTAACAACCAGTGTAATGTTTTACTTTGACTAGATACTAGAACTGAAAACATGTTGCTCAAAAGGACGTTTATATTTGTATTTATGCGACAAAAGCACTAAGCAGATGACAAACTTGCTCTTTATTGTTTGTAATATGTAGAGGGAGGAGAACCGGCCCCCCCTCCCAGCGCCATCTCTCCCCCTCGTGACCTCGTGACATCCGAGATTACAGCTCGCAGCTTCCGTGTGACATGGACCCACCCTCAAGGCCAAGTGGAGAAATACCGGGTGGTCTACTACCCCGCCAGTGGAGGACAACCAGAAGAAAAAGTATCCGAATACTTTTATTTTAAATTTTAAATTCACTGTTTCTTCTTATCATTTTATTTCAAATGCCTCTGCTTTAGCAGGCAGATTATTAGACGGCTCCTATGGTTCTCTGACACATGGTCAGTGTTTTATTTTGTCCTCTATTCTGATGAAGTTGCTCATTTCTAAACAGAAGGCTTAGACCTTGATGTAATGGCAGCATTTTTAATATGTGAAGCTCGGCCAATCCTTTTTGGGTCACAGAAATACAATTTCTTAGAGTGACCTCTTAAGGYTGGGCAATATGTACAAAAAAAATCACAATTAATTGTTTTTTTAGCCGATAACAATTTAATATGACAATTAATCCCCTGGAGGCCTGCATGCCCTAGTCACATGACCGATTCAAATCATTGTAGTGGGAAAAAAAATCTGTAAAAATCTGTTGTAAATTGYGTCAAAAGCACAGACTTTGTTCAGGCTTTACATCAATTTTTAAGTGGTGTTGATAGGCCAAGTAAAACCAGAGATTGATAAATAAAATACAGATTGTCTTATTTGAAGCAGAGAGGAGCACAGAGTGGACTGACTGAGGACATCCCCAGTCAGTCTGCCTGGTGGCATTAATCATGTTAATCATCAACTGCCAAAAAAATAATCGGTTAAAGTTTTTTTGACAAAAAATTGCACACAGTACGATTTTACCCGACCCTAATCTACATAATAAATGAGAATCGTTAGAAGTTACTATCATGGAATCATAAAAAGTGTCTCATTGCTACTGGTAAACTATATTTTTAAACATTTATGTGTTGCCATCTGTGGAGGGAGTGTACTTTATAAGAAAGATATACAGCGGGTAAAATAAGTATTGAACACGTCACCATTTTTCTCAGTAAATATATTACTAGAGGTGCTAATG